TTTATAAGCTTATAAAACATTAAGAACTTTTAGTACTTTGCAGAAAAATACATGTTCCATATCTTACTATTGGTTAACAATCAAATATATAGAAATGACAATGTATTGTTCGGTCTAACAAGTATAATGAAATAGTTTTATAAATACAATTTATAGTTAATGTTTAAAGAGTGGAAAAACTATATATTTCTCAATTTATTATAACATTTAAAAATTAGATTATTAGATGTAAGTAGTTAATATACTGTAAATATAATAGAGATACACAATAAATATTTTGAGTTTATGAAGTTTTTTTCACTTTTGTATATGAATATAGTGCAAATAAATTAAAAACTGTATTGTATCTCGTGTTTCAATATAGTTATTTTCGGTAGCATTGCAGCATTACTGAAATCGTAACAATTTTTGCCAAGATCTAGTAGATTTTTAAAATTTAAAAATTAAATGTTTTAAACATATTATATTATGATCAAATCGCATATTAATTATTAATCTAAATATCACCTAGTATAAACCTAAATACACTCTAAAGTTATTCACGAACGTTCATCTTAAAGGTGAAAAGTGGACATTAATACTTTTTATTGTTAAACAGGTATTAGAAAATTTATAAATGAATTAAAGTTGCACCTTGATATTTTTTTATTAACGTTTCTGATTTATTAATCTATTTTGTTTTAGATTATGACAATTCATTATATGAATTTGAGAAAAAGAGTTTACTATGAAGAATTATAGTTAGGGAGACCCAAAGTAAACAAAAGTCCTTGTGATGCCAAAATGACAAAATTACCCAGCATATTGCATAAAAAGTCCCCGTATTGATTGTTTTTTCACTTTTCTATCCGCCTATGATGATCGCAGACAGAGTATACAAAAATTATAAAATTTTGTTACTGCTAGAACCCCATGGGTGGAAGTACTTATGCAAAAACGAAAATGTTAAAGGAGTATGCAATGAGGTTTAAGCAGCATGGGATTGTACTACGATACAATAAACTTATGTGTAAATTTTGTCGTTGTAGGGCCATTTTCCTGAATTTATCAGGAATTAAGCAACATATCAGTACAAATTCGCATTTATCAAACGAACAGACCATATTGGAATCGAGAAAAAAACAGTTAATCCAGGAACAGTTACCTGAAAAAGTTGCAAAAGCTTTTTTGGAGGCGGATATACCGCTTAAAAAGCTTCGAATTCCTGCCATAAAGGAGTTATTCCAGTCGATGGGCTTCATATGCCCTGCAGAGAGCACTACCAGAAGATTTGTTGACAAGATAAACAATGAGATGAACATGCAGATAAAGAGTCATTTATATAATAAATTGCTCTTTCTGATGTTTGATGGGTCTTGTAAAGCTGGTCTCCACTACATTAATATCATGGCAGGTGATATTGAGGAACCAAGCAAGAAATATCTGATTAATCAGATTGTAACCGTCGAGTCAGAAACATCAGAGAGACTTTTTACTTATATAAATGACTCTTTATCTCTGTTTAATCTTCATTTTACTGATGTTAAGATGATAATATCAGATGGAGCGCCATATAACACCAAATTGAAGAAATTGATCAAACGTCAAGAAAGATCAATAGTATTCATAACGTGTTTTATGCATCTGTTGCACAACTGTGCAATGAAGATACGACAAACATACAAATTAACCGATCAATTTATTGCATCTGTAAAAGATATTACAGTCAGATGCAATAAATATCGTGATTTAATTGAGTTTGTAGGTAAACCACCTTCTGTTGTGGAATACGTGGCTAGAATGTGCCATATGGTATTATTCGAATTATTCTGGGGTTAATAATTTTTTAGGGAAAAATGATGAGAAAGTGAAATCAACAAGAATAATCAGCCTATTAAACAATCCAAATCTGTATCAGGAACTACAGATAATTGCATCTTGCTACCAGAATCTGTGGCATACAACAAAAAATTGCTTAGATCAAAATTTATCCGTTGTGCAAGCACATATGATCTATAAGAATTTAAAATTCAATGATGATCCTGTGCAATTAACAAAATACATCAATAAGCGTCTTATGACGAATGATTTACTGTGTTTCTGGAATGCCCCCGCTGACACGATCGATGAAAAAATTCACTCTGCTCTCTCCCATTGCCCAGCTACAACAATTTGTGTTGAGAGAAGTTTTAGTATGTTGAACAAGACATTAGCACACGATCGTAACTTCAAATCAAGTAACGTAGTAAGTTACCTGAAGCCAAGAATAAACAAATAAAAACTCATCCAATCTAGTTATATTTATATTCTTGTGAAGTAATTCAAAAAAGCCCTATACAACTTTTCTCGCTAAACGTTTTCATCCACTTTTCACCAGACATCCTGCTATATTCAGTGACATAAATCCCCCTATAAAAATAGTGGGATTTTTCTATAGTGCTGTACAGATAATGCCAATGAAAACCCCAGGGTGGTAAAAATTATGTTGTGCAATGATTACCTAGGTTTATAAAACGTTTAACCAGGAAATATATGAAACTATAACTATAGCCGGTTTGTTTACATTTGGAAGAGAAAAATAAAGTAATTGTGTGAGTACTATATTATTCACTGGCTTGCTCATAGAGCATATATTTCATTGTAATTTAGCACTAGACTACGTATCGTAACATTGTGTATATAACTTACAGTATTCACCAACCTTGATTTTTTTATTTGTTTACTGGGTCGCCCTAATTATAATTTAATATGATATTATAGGTTTGTAGACCTTTTTAATTTTAGATTTTCTTACTTTATATACAATTTAAATACCAGGATGTAATTTTTATTTATATAAAGATGCTTATTTAAACAATACTGAACTGTAGATATTTTTCGAAAATTGTTTGTTTTACCTTACATGTTAATTCTCCCTTACATATACTAAATCATATAATTTGTTACAATTCTTTAGATCAAATATCTATTTATACTTAAACTTTAAATAATTAATTAGCATGCTAAATCATTTCTTGTATTTAAATATTGATCTTGGTGAAATTATATTTTCTTGTGTTAAATCTAAGTCTTTTTTAAATATAAAAAGATCAAACTTAAAAGAGACTTAGATTTAGTGTGCTACTGACATTAATATTTAATTTACGTCGTTTAAATACAAGAAGAACAAAACTAACTATTTCAAAATAATTGTTACCATGGTGATTATGGTAGTAATGTATCTACCCAATATAGGAGTAGATTTTAAATTATCAGAATAACAAAAATGTAAAAATATCTAAATGGAATACATGCATGTATATTATGTAATTTAAAAGATTTATTCTCAAGGCTTCAAATCATTAAAATTTTATTTAAATATCTTTAACATAATATAGTCAATTAATAGGTGGTATTTTTTCTTCTATTTATTTATATTGCAATTAAAATATATAATTAGTATTGCAATAAGACTACCACTCTTATAATCTATATGTTTAGATTGTATCCATAATATTTTAATTTTTTCTTTAGATTATAATCCAACATTATGTTTGTCTTAAGATCACAAGTAAGCAAACTTGATGTTAAAATATTTTACTGTTAGTAGTTTAAAGACATCACAAACTTTAACCATATAGTTGTTAATAATGTAGGTTTTTTCTAAATATATTTATTTTATTCAAGTCCTTTATATGTATTTTGCTATTTTCCAAAACTTAAAATAACAATATTGGTTTTGATGATACTCTGTTTTTGATTGCTTTTTTTATCAACATCTTGCTTTTTATATGTTAGTAAACAATTTTTCAGCATGTCATTTTATGTAATATGATAAGATCAAGTATTACAAGATTAGTGAAAACGAAAAAATAGTTGTTCGTTGTTTCTATTTTGGTATATTCTACTAACCTTTTACGTCTTATTATCAATTTTTGTTGCGACAAGTTACTGAAAATGTTTTGACTGAATATATAAATATATCTAAAACGGTTAGTTTATTATAATACTTTTGGCGGTTTATTAAGTTTAATCACTATCATAACAAGAAGTCAATAGTATTTCACAA